TTTTCCAGGGCAAAAAAGTAGTCTTATATGCCAGAAAATAAGGTAGATCAAGTTCCTGGGGGAAAGAGAGTGCACCTCATTTCTTTCCCCAACCAAACCCATTTGTGCACCTCATTTCTTCCCCCAATTAAGCTGACAGCAGCTGTTTCTCCATAGTCTGAATCACCTCCCCTCTCTGCACTGGCAGGTAACAGCAACAGGACCCCTTCTTGAGCATAAAAAGTGCCAGATGATACTGCAAAGACATGGAAATGTGTATGCAGAACTGCACACATATGTAGGATCTTGGCTTTAGAGTGTTTGTTTGTTTGTTTGTTTGTTGTGTGCCTTCAAGTCGTTTCTGACTTAATGGCAAACCTATCACAGGTTTTTCTTGGCAAGATTTGTTCAGAGGAGGTTTGCCATTGCATTCCCCTGAGGCTGAGGGAGTGTGACTGAGGGAGTGTCACTCAGTGGGTTTCCATGACCAAGTGGGGACTCGAACCCTGGTCTCTAGAGTCATAGTCCACCATTCAAACCACTACACCATGCTGGCTCTTTAAAGTGTTTGTAGTTCATTGCAAATATATACCTGATTTTTTAAAATAGTGCATTGTTATGACTTAAAACAGAGACTATGGGCCTTTGCAGGCTGCCAGGAATAGTGCAAATTGGGTCCACTTTAAGGGTTAGGGCTAGTGCTAGGGAATCATGGGAATTGTTGTTGTTTTTTTCTGTTACATTGAGTCTTCTCTGTCAGAGAGCTCTGGTGCCACAATAAAATACAGTTCCCATGATTCCCTAACCCTAACCCTAACCCTAAAAGTGGACTCAATTTGCACTATTTCTGGCAGTCTGCAAAGGCCCTATCTGTCTCCTTTGATTCTACATGAGTACAGGATTTGGGCAAAAATGTCATTTATTTTTACAGCACGTTTTTGAGTCTTATAATAGTAAACACTTCATTGTTGTGGTTGTTATGTTCTGTTAATTCAGTTTCACATTACAGTGACCCTATGAATGAGAGACCTGTTATTATGA